GCCGCTGCTGCTGCGGCCGCCGCCGCCGCCATGAGCCTGGGCCCCATGGGCTCGGTGGTGAAGTCGGAGCCCAGCTCGCCTCCGCCCGCCATCGCGTCGCACTCGCAGCGCGCCTGCCTCGGCGACCTGCGCGACATGATCAGCATGTACCTGCCGCCTGGCGGGGACGCGGCCGATGCCGCCTCTCCACTGCCCGGTGGCCGCCTGCACGGCGTGCACCAGCACTACCAGGGCGCCGGGACTGCGGTCAACGGAACGGTGCCGCTGACCCACATCTGAGTTCCGGCCTGAGCTCGTCGCCCTTCGCCCCCACCCTGCCCCGCACCCCCGAGTTGGGACGCCTTGTTGTTTAGCTTTGCTTGCCTGGGACTGTTGCCTTGTACCGAAGATGGGGAGGACAGAAAGTTTTGCTGTAGCTGTCGGGTTTTGTACAAAAGCAAGAAGAAGTCCGGAGCAGCGGAAATGGGACTTTCTAGAACTGCCTGCCCCTTACCGCTGCCCCTCCCTCCCCCTTTGTAGGCTGGGAATCGCGGTGATGTTTGCAAAGAAAAAGCAGCCCCCTCCTCCTCCCGGGTTCTTCAGTTGCATTTGAAAATGTTGTCGCGTTAGTTTGCTATTAATGGAGGAGTGAGTGAGTGGGAGAAACAGACTCTCGGGTGAGGCTGGCCTGAGAACTGCGACGCCCCCGCCCCCAGTCGCGTTGCATTTGTTTTCCTCTTGGTTTTGGGGGGGGGGGGCTGACCGCGCCGAGTGGCGCGGCAGCTAAAGCCAATGTTAATTTATAGCCAGGTGTGCGCGTGTCTCCCGCCTCGCCGCCCCTGGCCGCGGGACAGCTTCTGTCCAGTCAGCTTTTAGGCTGTTGGTGATTTTCTGCCGTGATTTGTTTGCTATTTCGTCACGCTAATGTGTTCGGATTTCGTTTGGGTGGTGGGGAAGGGGCTATTTTGTTTCAGGTTTTTCAAGATTTTACTCTTAATTACTAAATGAGAGATCAATAAATTTTATAACCAACAAGATGGAGTCCTGATAATTTCGCGGGCCCGAAACTTTAGATGCGGTTTGGGGAGAGAACCAACACTCGGTTTTATAACTGAGGTTCCATCCGGAGGGCTGAGCGGGGTTTGTGGGGGAATCGAGCGTAGTCCGAAATGAAATAGTTTTCTTTTTAACTGGTGATCCAAGATAGACCAGCTCCCAGAACTCTCCAGCGAGGAACGGTCTCCACCGGAGAAACTGTTTGGCTTCGGAGAGCGTCTCCTGGGAGCTCGCCGAAGCGCACAGCCCGCGCGCGGCCACGCACTTGTTGATCGCGGCGAGCGTCCCGGGCAGGAGTGGCCGCTGCTCAGCCACGAGGGGCGGCAACGCGACCCTGACGGGCCGCGGAAACCGACCGGAGGGGCACTTTTACCTTTTACCTTTGTGCACTGGGGCGGGAAGACACTTGAGCCCACCTGAAATATTTACAAAACGAAAACCTTTCGGAAATCTCAGTGGTCCTATTAAAATAAATGGCTACAGCCGTCCCCGGCAGGAAATGAATACATGGCAACCATAGTAGCTGAAGCGGCCGGCGGAGTAAGCGCTCAACATTGCAAGATTTAGTTTGGAAAAGTGCGGGTTAGATTTGAAGGCGTTCTAAGACTCCTCCTTTGGCTTCTTGTTTTTAACCTGTCAGTGAAGTCCACTTGTTTTTTCGAAGAGGTTCCCTCTCGTGCAGAGCCTCGGCCGGCCCTCTGCTCCTTAAACCCCACTTTCCTCGGGTCCCTGACCCCTAGCCAGTCCACTGTGCCCCAGAAGAGGCTTTCGTTTCGCGCCCGACCGACCGCGCGGCCCCAGCGTATCTGTTTGGGGCCTAGGGAAAAAACAAATAGAACCAGTGTTTTTTTACCCCCTCCTCAGCTGTTTGAGGTGATTTCCTTAATCCCTTTAATCCTGTTACCTCGCTATCCCAGAATAACTAAACTCGGCCTTTCCAATAAGCTTTGGCCTGGTGTACTGTTTTTATCCTCATCCACTCCGGACCGCAGGTTTCTTTGCTTGAGGTCTGTTGGGACCCTAGGCGACGGTCCCCCGTAAATTGGTCCAAATTCCACATTTCCAGCCGGCTTCCTTTGTGCGGACCAGCCATTCACCTGCAGGCTGGGGCGGGCCTCGGGGGGAGGGGCAGGGGCTTTCTGAGGCTTCGGGGGTCGTGCCCGCTTTTTACACATCACTGCGGATCCTGGAGACTAAACCCACCCCGCCTCTCCAAGAAAGGTCGGGTCTCCCTGGGAAGGCAGCGCTACCCCTCCCCCGAAGACATTAGTGCTGCCACCCCCAACCCCTGCGCCCCATCCCCCACTGTCCCGCATAGGATGGGAGGGCGCCCGCGTTGATTTACAGAGGCAGACGTATTGCCCCCCACCCAGGGCTCCTCCCCGGGCCTGGAGCTGCTGCGTTCAGGCTAGGCCTCCAGCTCTCCCTGCTCTCCTCATCGCAGCGCCACAGACCTCGAGCCCCTCCAGGCTGGTCGGGGCTTCAGCCCTTACCACTGTGATTGGAGCAAAGGGGCAGGCGGCCTGGTTCTTAAGTCTCACCGCGCTCTCCAGGCCCTGGCGCTCCGAAGCCTAGCGGCAGGAGGGCACTTGTCATATCCACCTCCCTACTCGTATATTTCACAAGGTTTCTAATTCAATAAAATACCTGTGCGTAAGTGATTCTGGGGCTCCAATTGCTAGCAATTATGGACTAAGTTCGATCTGAAACGACTCCAGGGAAGGGAGGGTAAAGCAATTCCCCCCTCGGATGAGGGCGGTGCCAACGGGGGAATAAACTCTGACACTGCTTCTTTCGGAGAGGCCATTGTGCTGCTGCCTTCTTAGAAGTGCCAGGGTCACCCTTTCAGCGGGTCTCACAAATTGCTCACTCCCTCTCGAAACATCCATGGCTTTGTGCTGCACTTTGTCTGATTTCCAAATTTTCTTAAGAAGAGAAAAGATTTCATCCATCAGCACATTTGCAGGATTTAAATCCAGATGAGAGATAATGTTTTTTAACTTCGGCAGCAGGGAAGAGAAGTGAGTTGAACTGGAATGAAGCTTCCATGCTCTAGGCCAGAGTGATCAGATGGGCACACTCCCCTCCCCCGCACAGTTCTACCAGAGCCCATGCCCCTCGATCTGTTTTGCAGATTCGGGGTTCTGGGAAGGTGTAGCTGGAAGTAAGGGCCTTGTGGCTAAAATAACAATAGCAACATTTGGTCAGACTCCAATTCCTCCTGCTTCCTTGCTTGTTTTACATATGAGGAAACTGACCCCAGAGGGAAATGACGGTGCTCAAGGCTGCTTAGCTGGTTCTACTGCAGCCCTGCAGAACTAGGCTCCCAGGCTTGGGAGGATTCTTTTCGCACTGCCCGCCACAAAGACAAGACAGACCAATGAAATCACAGCCCCAGCTGCCTTTCCAGCCTTTAATCCAGCAAGCCTTCTGGCGAAAAGAGGTTATTCCTGACACAGAGGCACCTAGTAGTCACCACTTGGCCACTAAGTCCTTATGGATGGGGGAAGACTAGGTCATCTTTTATCTCCCCGAACAGAAGCAGAGCTACTTTTTGGTGTGAATTATCCTTCCTAGAGATTTGCCTTTCTGTTCTCTTTGCGACGTCCCTCATTAATTTACCTTCTAGAAAATTATGGGTGTGGTGCGCTTCTAAGGCACAGGCAAAGATTTATGAACAAAAATGTTCGTCATACCTGTTCTTAGGATGCTGAAAAGTTACAACCAACCCAAACATCGATAAACAAGGAAAAGTTAAGTGAAATAAGCTGTTTTTTTTTAAAAAAAAGACACTTTTCAGATTTAAAATTGTTTATGGGGAGGTTTTAACCACACAAGAAAAAGCTTACTAGAAAGTGAAGAGAGACTCAGCGCTATGTTCAGTGTGCCTGACCTTGACTGTTTACAGTAAATATATATGACTGGGAAAACACGCAAAAAACGCACAGTGGCGTTATGAAAACTGCCTAGGCTTCCTTCTCATACTTCCAGTTTTCTCTAGTAGGATTGCACTCCTGTTTTCGCTAGAAAAGACACATTTAAAATATATTCTTTCCTGATCATGAATACAGAAACTTGTCTCCTTGTGAAAGAAAGTTCAGCCTTTCCTTCAGCTATTTCGGGGTGAGGAGGGGGCAGGGAGCTCCAGGAGCAGTAATCCCTTAGCCTTTCTCCTTGTTGGGGCCTGCGGTTCACACAAGCAGGAGGATCGCACCAGAGCAACCCCTGCCAAGTCCCCTCCTCAGTAAGCAGGAGCAGGAGCAGATTAGTGAAGGCCAGTCATTCTTCAGACCCACTCACTGGAGCAAAAGACCTCCTTGGGAGCCAAACTGAAGAGCCTATGCTGCAAGGAGCAGAGGCTGCTGAGGAACCCCAAGGCATAGAAATGCAAGGGCCTGAGCAAGCCACACTGCCGCAGAATAAGCCCTGGGATTGGATCCCATAGGAGGAAAGGCTAGGTGAGCCCTCAGAAGCTGAGTGGAACATAACGCACAATACTCTGTCTGTTCGCAGCCCCATCCATCTCATCCATACCACTGTCAAGCCTTGTGGGCCCACCGCCATGGCCTCCTACCTCATGCTCCCACCCTACTGCCCCATCCACTCTCCCGAGAGTATTCGAACCTAGACCCCATCACTACCACTTCCTTTCTTAAATAACTTTCTAGTGGCTTCCTATTGAGTACTCTTGGAAAAAGTATCCCCACTCCTCCAAAGCCTCGCCTGATCTTGCTCCTGCCCACCTTTCTAGGCTTAATTCCTTAGACCTCTACTTGTCCCTTTCTCACCCCAGCCAGCATTCCTTTGAGAAGTTTTCAGTGAATAAGTAAATCAAGGTTTGTGATAATTTCACTTCTAAACAAATTTTAAAGTTCAGTAATTTTCTGAAAGATTACTATGCACAGAGCATATTTTATTTCTTGTATTAACAGGACTTCCCCAAATCTGTATGTCAAGCCCAGATTTCCTAACAATTAATAAAACCTACTAGCAAAAATATGTTTTCTTCCCCTGCTTCAGGGCTTTTCAACTTGCAGTTCCCTTTGCCTGAGAAGTTCTCTTGCGAGCTGTTCCCCCACATAGTCCAGTGTCTGCCTGAATGTCTCAGCTCAAGCATGACTTCTCCTGGAATACCCTCTTCCAGAATAGAACAGCGCTCCTAGTTATATGCTCTCACAGTTCTGAGTACCTCTTCCAAGTACTGGTCCTACCAACCACTTAACATATATTTGTGTGAGTCTGCCCATTGTCTGCTTCCTAGAGTGTAAGTTCCATAAGGGCAAAGACTTCATCTAGCTTATTCACCAATCCTTCTCACAATACTTATACCAGACAAGGCTCTCGAGAATATATGTGGGGCATTAACTGCATGTTTAAGGAATAGGTGCTCTGGGGGCTTGAAGTTGATGGGATCTTTGCAAGTCCGTGAAAATTGACTGAATTTCCAACTTTGGCTCTATCCCTAGCCATCCCTAATCTGTGGGATTTTGAGGCCATGATTTACTCCAATCTTCAATTTCTTCAGAAGTCAAATGGGCCCAACAATATCTCTGGTTTGGTGTGACGATCCAATAAAATGATTCCCTGAGGGCTGGGCAGTACCTAGCACACAATCATTATTCTCTGTGTTAGCTATAATAATCACCTTTCCCAAAAACCTCTATTGACATTTCAGGGAAAAACTAATGCCTGCTGGCCAGATTTCATACTTCTGACTGTCACGAGTGATGCTTCTTATTGCTGAGGTTAGGTTTTGGCATAGAAGGAAGGCAAAAATCAGATGTGACCACTAAAAATAAATGGCCCTGGAGCTGATGTTTAATGGTAGAGTATTTGCCTAGTGAGGCCCTAGGTTTGATCTCTATCTCTCTCTCTCTCTCTGTCTCTCTCTCACACACACACACACACATACACAGGAATAAACCATGACACCAAAAATATAAACACAAAAGAAAAATAGATTAATTGCAC